TTTTAATAAGACTTAAATTAATTGTACATTTTCTGCATTAAAAACATCTATTAACATAACTGAGGAATAGCTTAAGAGGTTTAAGGTCTGTTTTTGAGTGAGTATATCTTTAGCATTAAAAATCTTGAAGACAAATTTGACTAAGACTTAAAAAAATAATAGCCAGGCATGATGACACACACTTGTAATCTCAGATCTATTGAAGGATGAGGCAGGAGGGTTGAAGTTCAAACTCAGCCTAGACAACATGGTGACTTAGTGAGATGCCATCTCAAAAAATAATAAAGAGCTAGGGATGTAGCTCAGTGTGAAGGTCCTGAGTTCAATCCCCAATACCTCAAAAAAATTATAAAACTATTATTGAAAAGCTTTAGTCCATTGCCTTTGGTCTGCAAATTAGTAGTTTCATCCTTCAGAAAATAAATATGAATGTTAAAACTATGCTCACTGAAACATCTGATGCAGCAGTGAAAAGTTAGAAATGACCAGGTGTGAGATTAAGAGGATTGCGTTAACTTGATGCAATAATTATTAAAAATAATGCTGTCAAAGAATAGAGGCAAGAACATTCCCAAGAGTGAAGCAATAAGAATGTGGACTCTGGAGTCATTCAACCTGGCTTCTGAATCTCACTCAACTAATTCCCCATGTGGGACCTTGGATGATTTGAGCTTCGTTTTCCTCAAACATAAAATGGAGATGGTGCTTGTGTCTCCCTAGCAAGCTCTTGAGGGAATCAAATGAGGTGAGGCATGTCAGCTGCTTCTCACGAAGTCAGGCACAGTCAGAAATTTATAAAACAGCGTGTTTTCTCTGATAATTTGTATTTTTGACTTTTAAACCACTGATTTGTATCACAAGAAGGATATAGAAAGTTATTTTGCTTAAAAGATTAAAGATTTTTTAATTATGATAAAATACAAGTGCACATGCAGTTTAGAATCTTACATGTCTAATAATCTGAATGATAGTTTCAAGTGTAGAGTTCAGTAGTATCGGGGCAGACGGGCAGACGTTGGTGTTACCTGAGTTTGTCTGGGGCAGTGACTTCCAGGAAGCACTTGGCGCAGGACCCTCTCCTCAAAGACCCTTCCCAGTGAGCTAGGATCCCTGTTGCCTGCCCAGCAGGGAGTCTCGTCCTGTCATTTCCAAGATGAGAACAACTTGCTTTAATCAATGCACTCCCAGCAGTAAGACAGGAAATATTTTAGGTATTTCCATAGAAATCTCAGACATCTTTGCTTTAGTTGCAGAACTGTTTTAATTGTGCAATGGGAGGATCTATGACCTCCAGCCTGCTTGGTTTGGCTTGTGGGTGTTTAAATGAACAAGTGCTGTGTCCAGGGGCAAAGCTTTCCCTGGTCCCATTGTCCTGGAGGCAGGGACCGGGTGGGGCCTGGAGGGAGTCAGGGCCACTGAAGAAGTAAAGGGCAGGGATTAGTTATGAGAATATTAATTCAAGACAGAAAAAAGCAGTGTTTGTTTTTAAATTTCATACAAATGTGTTAAAAATATCTTGGTCCCATCTCTTACCAAAATGCCCAGCTTTAGGAAGGGGTCAACTTCTCAGCCTATGAAAAGAAACTCAAGGTAACAAAAGATGATGAAAACTGATTCAGGGAGATACCAGCTCAGTAACATCACAGTCCAACTTTAATAACAGTCATACATTAGTGAGGCCGCATCACTGAAGCAATGCTTTCGTCCTCAGTCCTGTTCTCCCTGCCTCCTCAAAAGAGCAACGTCAAAGCCCCTGAGATTCTGGAGGGACACTGGAGGCCCTGGGGACCCAGAGGGCTTCCTGGTAGCCTCTGTGGTGCCTGCTCCATCTGAAAGAGACACCAACTGGCTAGGAGCAAATCCCTGAGGAGAGCAGTCCCTCAGCGTCTCAGCCTAGAGACTGAGCTAAGCTGCAGTCTGCTTTTTATAGTGTGATTTGGGTGACTGGTTCCAGTGCAGTCCAATAAATATTTCAGTTGCTATTGTCCCAATCCTGTAACATAACTTACATCATATCTAAAATATTCAGGGTCTTCTTCTGTAATTCTGATGACTCATGACCCGAGAAGGCAGAACACTTGTCACAGAATGCCATGGTTGGGAGTAGAGGGACTGCTCTAGGGGCCTCTGCCACCAACTCTCCATGTGGCCCTGGGCCAGTGGGCTCTCTTTCGGAGCTTAGAGCTTTCACTTTTAAAGGGAAAGGTAGGGCATTGGCTGCTATGCTCTGAGATCAGCAGTAGTTTTTTTTTTTTTTTTTCTGATCCCAGGAATCAAACTCACGACCTCGCCCTTGCCAGGCAGGCACTGTGCCGCTGAGCTAAATCCTCAGCCCCAAGAATGATCTTCAGTAGTTTTAGAAAACTAGTTGAAAGTAGTATTTCCACTTTCATGCCAGGGCCTATCACAGAGGCTTTGCAGAAGAGCTCTGAAACAAGGACTGGGCGCGAACCACTCCTCACCCAAGCCTCTCAAGCAGATGCTCCAGGGTCATGTTAACCATGGCCGTGAGTCTGGGTTGCTGAAGATGCCTGCAGAAATAGTGCCCCTTCTGAATAAATGTAGTCCAAATATTCCCAAGAAAGATGAGGCGCTTCCTCCATGGTAGACTTCCTGTCGGTGCTCTGGGGTTGGTCTTTGCGGTGCTGTCTGCAGCCCTCAGCCTCTCCAAGCTCCCATTGGCAGGGCTCAGCCGACAGGCAGGCCCAAGAGATGCCTGTGCCCCTGTGCTCGGGAAACCCCTGTCTCCCTGCTGCTGCTTCTTGCCATCCCCAGATTGCGCCGCCTCCTTGGAAGCTCAGCTGCCAGGACCACCTCTTGCAGGAAGCTTGGTCTCTTCCCAATTTCCAGGACATGTGTGCTCTCTCTTCTTCCAGTCACTTCCTTCCTTGGACTGTATTATTTAAACACGCTTCCCTCCTCACTGAACTGGGCAGGCCTTGGTGGCTAAACCTTTATCTTCACCAAGTCTAAAATCCAGTCCAAACGCCTAGCTTAGTGCTTTTATAAGTATAACCATCAGACATTTCTGGACGCCTTCGGCCTTTGCCTCACTCAAGGGGTTGATATCGAAGATCCTCATCCTGGTCCTTTCTCAGACTGAGTTTTTCAGTGAGAACTTGGCATTACAGTTTCCAGAGGAGATGGACAGTTTCTCTGACTGCGGACATCTCTGCCTCTCATCTGCTCTGGTTACATATTTTATTTTGGAGACCGAAGATGAGACCATGCTTTGTCTCCTTGAGCCCAGCATTGACTCTCAGTTTAAATATTGGTTTTCAGGCCACATTTCTTGCTTTCTTGTGAAAGATGTCATAAATAGAGCCAAGCATGCATTTTCCCTCTTTTGATTTCAGGGAAGGCCATTGGGGAGTTTGGAGGGTACGGCCATGGGGTCTGAATGTGAGAGTGGATCTGTGTGCCTTTCCGTGAGGGCGAATCCTTTTTTTGTCTGACCTGGGACTAACTCAGCTCTGCACAGAGACCAAGCAGCAGTTGAAGATACCCCTGGAAGGCGTGGCTGCAGCACAGTAGGTGCAGGGGGACAGACCGTATGCTGAGTCCTCAGGGGAGGCTGCTTTTGCAGAAGTGGGGCCCATCTGTGGAGAAGGCAGCCGGGGAAATCACAGGTGGCGTTGGATCATAATAGACAGGAGGAAGAGCTAAGCCAAAGGTTTCTGTGCATCTTTCCCCTTTGCAAACTTCCAAGCAGAAAGAAATGTTTGCAGCTGGTTTCAGGGTATGTACCAACATGGAGAATTCCAGTGCGCCCCAAAGCACCATGTGACCTGTTACAGAAAAGCCACACACACAGACTCCGTCGTGAAGAAACCTGTCCTGAAAACTGCAAGGTTGGCCATGTCTGGTGCCAGGGAAGGCGTCAAAGCAACACCTGAGTGCCCTTCAGCACACGGAGGTGTGTAATGCTAGTGTGTTCACACCTCTTGCCATCCAGGGCACAAAAAGGCCTCCATGTCTCCATTGCTCAGTTTTCTTTCCTAAAGTCACTATTAATAATGTGACCTGAAAGCCCCGTGTTGGGGGGGATGCTTTCAGATGGTGGGGTTAGAGGCTATAACGGATTGTGCTTCTCTGTGACAGCAGCAGTTTTTATTTATTTATTTATTGTATTTTAATCCGTCAGCATGGGAAGAAAAACTGTACCTCAAGATTATTTTTGCTTTGCAGGTTATCTTTATGTACGGTTAGTGAATGCATTAAACATTCTAATTTTCTTTCAAGAAGCTGTCTGGCCATGGTGTTATTTGTGGGAAAAAGCAACCACATCACCTCTTTTCTATTTTAATTAAGCTTTACAGTAAACTTTGGGGGCATGCTAGGCCGCAACAGCCTCCCCTCGCTCATCCCTGCTCCTATCGACTTCCTGAGGTCCCCGATGCTGACTGAGTTCATCAGCTCTATCCCAAGTCCCTGGAAAAGTGGGAACAGCCTAGGCTGGCTGCTCAGGATGCGAGCTCCAGGACTCAGAGGCTGGAGCCGTGGTCGGCTCCGGCGCGGGTTCAGCCCTGGGAACCGCGTCCACGCAGGCAGGGATCGGATCCTCGAGCCGCACCCACGTGCGGCTCTGCAGAGGGTAGGCGCTCTGCACTCCTGGGTCCTCAGAAGGTCCCCGTCGGTGGCGCCTCTGAGCGCCGACCCCAGGGGGCGCAGGGCGGGTCTGGCTCAGGGTGACGAGGTCCGCGCCCGGCGCCCCCGCGCGGCCTGGGGAAGGAGGCGCCACGGAGCCCGGTCCCCGCCTC